AATGCATCACGCTGAGTGCAGCGCCGCCTGTCTCCTTGTCTGGCCTTAATACAGCTTGCACTATTTGAAACCTTTTGAAAACAACTCACTTTGTTTTTTTGCACTGCCTTTACTAATTCTTTTTTTCTTCTATTACTATTGTCTCTTTTAACATGTCTTCACTTGGATTTTTCATCTATGCATTACCGCTGCCACCATCATCATAACCCTTGATCACAACAGCACTCATCTGAACTTGAATCCATTTTACAGGCACGACTAAGCAAAAGTGAGAGCAATCTGCACTACCCTCAATTTGTCAAGCGAGCTCCATCAGTGGACTTGATTGCCGAGCAGCACTCCAGCCAATACCACCCCCACCATTGTGATGAACAAAACTACCACTACCACCCCCATCACCATCACTATCACCAACAGCATCAACTTTATCAGCAACAACAACAGCAGCAGGAACAAAAGCAAAGAAGATCATCAGAAAGTTTTCGAAAGCCAGAGAAGCCCCAGAGCAAGTCCGCCAGCTCTTATGTGCCAAACAGTGCCAATGTCTTTACTGTCTCGCTACCGATGCAAACCTCTGCCACCAGAACCTCTAAAGAGGGCAGCATCAGGGGCAAACACAGCTCGGCAGTGCCAACAAGTGGCGGCAATGTCAGTGGCGCCGTCGCCGCCAAGATTCAACGCGCCAGACAGCAACATCGAGCCAACCAAATATGTCAGCAAAATGCCAGCGTCAACAGCACTCCGTCAACGGCAGTAGACAAATTAAATACGCGGGATTTGTCGCCGCTGAGTAAAATGGCGCTTAACGCTTACTTCTTCTCCTCAAGTACGCAGGAGGTCTCAAATGATATTGTGTTGAGCAAGAGCCCGAACAGCAAAAATTCAGGTTTGAAAACTTTCAGATACAAATGTTTGTTTATTGGACTAAAAGTGATTTTTATTTGTTTTTAGGTGGCCATACGGAGAAAAACTGCAAAATAAAGCGCTCAGTGTCCAACTTTGACGCTAGTGTGTACTTTCGACAGCATGACGCACCCGCAACGATTTTTTCCGGCACAACAGTGGACAGCCCGTGGAAGCTGCAAAAACCAAACTACGATGCAAACTCTAAAAACGGCGTCCCCGACTGGTACTCTCAGTACCTTTCATTTGAGTTTCTCAATGAGCGCATTAAAAGTCGCCTGCAGGAGGAGATCAACTACCAGCGGCGCTCAATCGCCACTGACAACTCCTCCATCTGTGACTACAGTCGCCAGGACTCTGCTTACCAAACTTCAAGATCAGAGGACAGCAAACAGCATCTGATTGGTAGTCGATGTTTTGCGCCTGATCGCAGCCACACCAAACTGTCCTGTAGTGAGGCTAACCTGAACACGCCAAACACGCCCAAAACCAAAGCCAAAGGATCAAATGGTTTAGGCAAACGAAAGAGCTTTAAAAAACTTATTGAACAGTATTTTGTGCACAATAACTCCAGTTGTGATTCAAGCACGAGCTCACTGGACTCCTCCTCCGCCTATGCCATTGAGCCGAGCACTTTTGCTCACTTTGATCAGAACTTTATTTTAAAACGCAACACACCAAATGCAGGTCTATCAGATCAAAAATTTCAACAACAGTCTAATATAAAAGGTAAAGTATGATTAAAAGCAACACATTTACTATTTTTAAATTTTTGTTTTTTTGTACAGAATATTTTGACAATGAGCAGTCTATTTACGAGAAAACTTGGCGAAAAAAACGCCCCTCACAATCAACGCATTCTAACAGTTCACAATCTCAAACAAATGGTCGCAGCAACTTTTCTACCATTGATCGACAGTTGCAAATGTTTGAAAACATTCTCAACCAAGCTGAAAGTCAACTGGCAGATCACGACGAACTAATAATGCATTTAGAGGACAACAAGGCACTTCACAAATCAAACCTAAGTTTAACTGATCAAACAAATTGTGGTGAATTTGCTCAAACTAATGTAAACAGTTCCAGTAACAACAGCAGTCAACTGAAATACCTCAAATTAATTGGAAAAAGTGACAATTCACTAAGTGCCGGCAATATCAAAATGCAAAGTAAAACTCGCAAAAACGGACAACATCAGCATTCAGATTACCACAATCAAAATTCAGGTCTCTACTGGACTCCTTTGAATGATCTTAGTAGTGAGTCAGAATTTGAAGATGATTTTGAGTACGATGATGAATTGCTCAATAAAGCCATCCACCGACCAGACCCTGTAGTCACCGAATTGCTTATTGATAATTTAGTCGACATTGAGGTAGAAGACTTTAACTGTCACCAGTTTCGAGCACCCGAGCCGCCAGTGCCAATGCCGCGTCAACACTTAACAGTAATACCAGCAAAAACGGCTGAAAGTCAGCACCAGTCATCAAGTTGCAAAAGTGAAAACAATGTTTACAAACTGACAATGTCACCAGAAAAACAATCACCAATCACTGTTAGAAAAAATGGCATTCCCCAGTTGCCAAGTGGTCCTTGTTTTACATTATCAAATCAACTCAAAACACTGTTGCACAACTCAAACAGATTGAAAAGTCAAAATTATCTTTTTTATTAACTGAATAAATTTTTAAAATGTTTTTAATAAAATGTTTTAATTTTTTAAACATTTGGCACTTACTAGCAGTTTAATAAAACTTAAGAAAGCTAGAGTATTTTTTAAATCGATTTTAAACGTAAACTTCATTATAACATTAGTGCATTAAATTTTGTTAATTTTGTCTCGTTTTATTTTTAATAATTGCACAATTATTGAAAAATGTGACAAACGTATAAAAATGATGACTATTTGATTTGTAAGCATTACATTTTTCCAAGTACAATATTAAGCTAGTTTGTGATAAAGTTTAAGAGCTAAAATACCACATCAGTTTAAAAAAGAAAAAAATTGCAGCAGCTACGGCTATGCTCATAACAATATTGTGAGCATTAACTTCAGCTTGATTAACCGTGTTTTCACTAGTTTGCGGCGTGTTGTCATTTTGAGCTAAAGTTGCAACAACGTCGTTTTCATCAATCTCCGGAAAAACGACTGGGCGTTTTCGAAGTTCATTTTCTGGAGCAGAATTTGCGGGTCGACTCATCAGTTTGCCAATATCACGAGCAAGTGCAGCATCAATTGCATTTATAACAATTTCTCTAGCTTCTTCTTTGCGAGATTCAATTTCTTCTTCGCTTAAATTGCGTTTTATTTCTTGTTTCTGATCCGGAGTCTTTTCAGTTGCTGATTGTGATGAAGCTACATTTTCATTGTTCTCTGGTTCTACTGTTTTGCTCTTCGTTTCATTTTGATTTACCACTGTTTGAACAGTTGACTCCATAGCAGTTTCAGCCAATATTTTCAATTCGGACTGCTCAAAATCTTGCAAAGCTTCAGCTATCTGCAGAGAATCAATAGAGAACAAACAAGCATTAGAGCAAAATCAATCTATTTAAGTTTGAACCAATTTACATATTTGTTCTTCCGAATAGCCGCCAACTCGCCGGCAGTGACGCCGTCTCGAGTTTCCAAAAGAACATCAGCATTGTGGTCAAGCAGCGTGGCAACCACCTCTTCGTGATTCTCTGCAGCAGCCCAGTGCAGTGCCTGTAAGTGATTAAAAATGTTAATTTGTCAAATAGGCTAATATATGAAACACACATTTAAGTGCCTACAGGTACTCTTGTTCAGTAGTAGCAACGACAATTAAAAAGCGGCAACAAGCGTCTAAAGCCTTTTCCTAAGGAGGAGAAGAAGAAGCGGTCATGCCCAGTTGAACACTACAACAGTTAAAGAACGGGGGTGAAAAGGACAAAAAGGAGAAGAAGATAAGAGGAGAAACAGAGGAGAAAACTAGTGAATCAAGCTAATGGTCAGTGGTGACCACCACTGTTCAGATGAAGAACTTGGCTTACAGTCCAGCCGTTTCGATTGGCGTGATTGACATCGGCGCCCTGTTCAATCAGTTGCTCGGCCAGTTTGGCGCGGCCAAAACGGGCGGCGTAGTGCAGCGGCGAGCAGCCAAACTTGTCCACTGCATTGACCTGGGCGCCACCTTCCACCAGCAGCGCCATGCACTGCCTCAGCTGGCCTTCATTGCCGTTGCCGCTGGAGCAGATGGCCATCAGCGAGGTGAAAAACTCTTTGTTTGGGTTGGTTGAGGGCAAAAATTGTGGGTCAGAGTTGAAGTGTCTGGTGTGCGTCTGTGATGTGCTCACTAGATATTCAAACTGTGTTTACCTTTGTGGTAGTTCGGATCTGAGCCCCGTTTTAGGCAGAACTGGACAATCTCCGGGTAGCCTCGATAGGAGGCGTACATGAGCGCCGTCCAGCCGGCCTTGAGGATGGCGTCGATGAAGAAGTTGGGCGTCGTGCTGAGCAACTCTTCCAGCGGCTCCAGCTGCCCGGCAATGACCAGATTGCGCACCCTGCTCAGAATCAGACTGGAGGGCGACACTGGCCGGCGAGTGGTGGTGGGCGAGCCCGGGTAAGAGGGCGTCGGTGAGGGCGTCAGCGGCACGTCGATTTGCTCAATCTGTACGTGTGTGCAGGTGCAGGTGGAAAGCGAAGCGAACGAATTTGGCCCGCAGTCAGCGGTCAGTCGGTGTTGGCAAGCAAGACGGGCAAACGACAGACGTCAAATGTAGAAAGAAGAAAAGAGAGAAAAATCTAAACGGCAGAATGACTGAGCCACACTTACCTGGTCATTGGCATGCAGCAGCAAGTTGTCAGGCATCACCGGGTCAACTTCATCGTTTTCGTCCTCTTCCTCCGCTTCTATTTCATCCTCCTCCTCTTCAGGAACTCCCTCCAGATCGCCCTCCTTCCAGTCTTCAAGGGCAATTTCAATTTCATTCACCTCATCTTCGTCGGCCATTGCCTCGCTTAGTGACTGGTGGCCAAGGCGATTCACCACCGAGCGGGGCATTTCTCTGGGCTCACTTTGCTCAAAAAACGCCTCCTTGCTGGTACTCGCAGGTACTTCTGCAATGTCCTCCTCCTCTTTGATTGCCTCCAAATTGTCACCGACTGGTGTCATTGTTTCATCACGATTCAGCTCTTCATTGTCACTTTTTGATGTATCTATTTTATGATGTGTTATTGTTGTTTTAAGTTAAGGAAGTTATAAAATAAACTTACCCAACATTTCCTCATCTTGCAAGTCTGATATGTTCCACTGGTTGTTGACATGTCGCAGTTGACCAGGCAGAGATGAGTTACTGCTGTCCTCCACCGTGCTGGATCGTTCAATAGGTGGACTTGCCTTTTTAATTGGGGGAGATTGTGGCTTTTCATCATCCTCAATGATTTCCTTCACCACCTCTTCCTCTTCCTCCTCTTCATCAACGTACTCCACCTCATACTCTTTATCATCGACTACCTCAACTTCTTCTTTTTCTTTTTGAGATGTTTCAGTTGGAGATGAAATAGTTTCCGCTGGTTGTGGCTGTTTGTTTGTTTCTACAACAGTTTCAGTAGTTTTCTCAGTTTCAACGGGTATTGAAGGTTTCTCCGCAATAGTCGGTTGTGTAGTTTCTACTGAAACTGCTGGAGCTGCCTCTACTTCCTCCTCCAAGTCACCTTCTTCTTCTTCTTCATCTTCACTCATCGGTTCACTGGACAGCGCTGCTGCTGAGAGAGTGGGCGTAGTGTGCGCTTGCAGAGTGCTCGTCTTACTGAGCAGCTCGTCGATTCGATTTGCAATTCGATCAAACTCGGCATCGTCTACTGCCTCCTCATCTTCGTCGTACTCGTCGTACACCTCCACCACATCATCTTCCTCATCATCCAATGGAAGTGTTTCCTGCTGTCTTTCAGTTGGGTCAGACTCTTCGTCCACTTCGATTACCTCTTCGCTGATTTCCTCATCCTCATCCTCATACACGTACTCAACCTCGTACTCTTCGTCTTCTAGATCTTCTTCTTTAGTAGTCTCAATTGTTTTCAGCGGTGTATTAGTAGTTTGAGCATTTCGCTCTGCAGAAGCAGGAACGGTTTTCGCTGTTTCTGCTAATAAATTAAAAAATAGTTAGCATTACTGCACTAAATTTAAGTTTTCAACACTATTTTATTTGGTTTAAACGTTTATTTCTGACAATTTACTATAACTTACTTTTCGCAGCTGTTTCTGCTGTCACTGGAGAATTTTCGTCGCTCATTATTGCAAAAATTTGAACAAAAACTTATTGTTGAAGGTTTGCGTAATCAATTTAAGTAACGGTAGTTTGTTTATAGAAACGCACACCCTGAGTAAATGTTATTAAATAAACGGAGCAAATAAAAAAGTACTTTTTTCAACCAATGAATGTTTGAAAATACAGTAGTAACAATGTACATAAAACAAAACAAATGGATCAATTGGCAAAACTGTCTTGCAGTTGATTGAGTGATAAGTAATGATGATGATGAATATTACCGTTTGTCAAGCAAATATCAGCAAAATCAATCAATAATCATGTAATTAATACAATAGCAATCACACAAAAAGAATATACAAAATTGAAAATAAAAAAACTGGCAATATGACGCGGTACAAAATAATATGAGAAAAACAAAAAATACAAAAAAGCTTAACAGTCAGTTTGATTGTCGTAGTGATTGTAGTCGTAGTAATCAATGTTTCCGTTTGTCTTTGTGATAGAAAATGACAGAATCAAACTACGTAAAAGATTCTGCCGCACCAATGCAATGTGTTGCACCGGGTAAAATGCTTGACAGAGACGGAGAAAGAAAGAGAAGGAGAAAAAAGGAAACCCAGTGACACTGTGATTCCGTTTGTCGTATTATGTGGCACGTCACACCGACTGCCCCACCTGCCCTCCTTTCATCTTCTTCTATTCTTCCTCTTGTCACAAATCTTCCCGGTGATAGTTATGTGCAGAGATTGCAAAGTCTGCAGAGAAACATAGAAGCAGCCAATTGTGTCAGAAAAAAAGATCGACGCAGTGTTGAACAGAAGAAGAAGAAGAGGCTTACAAACAGTGCGGT